AGAACAGAGGCATCGGAGGCAACACAACATATCTACAACCATACAATCTTTCATAAACCTGACAAAAACAAGCAATGGGGAAAGGATTCCCTGTTTAATAAATGGTGTTGGGAAAACTGGCTAGCCATGTGCAGAAAGCAGAAACTGGACCCCTTCCTGACACCTTACACTAAAATTAACTCCAGATGGATTAAAGACTTAAACATAAGACCTGGCATCATAAAAACCCTAGAAGAAAATCTAAGCAAAACCATTCAGGACATAGGAGTAGGCAAGGACTTCATGAACAAACACCAAAGCATAAAATAGATAAATGGGACCTAATCAAACTTCACAGCTTCTGCATGGCAAAAGAAACAGTCATTAGAGTGAATCGGCAACCAACAAAATGGGAAAAAATTTTTGCAGTTTACCTATCTGACAAAGGGCTGATATCCAGAATTTACAAAGAACTCAAACAGATTTATAGGAAAAAAACAAGCCCATTCAAAAATGGGCAAAGGATATGAATAGACACTTTACAAAAGAAGACATACATGAGGCCAACAAACATGAAAAAATGCTCATCATCACTGGTCATTAGAGAGATGCAAATCAAAACCATATTGAGATACCATCTCACGCCAGTTAGAATGGCGATCATTAAAAATCTGGAGACAACAGATGCTGGAGAGGATGTGGAGAAATAGGAACACTGTTGGTGGGAGTGTAAACTAGTTCAGCCATTGTGGAAGACAGTGTGGCGATTCCTCAAGGCCTTAGAAATAGAAATTCCATTTGACCCAGTAATCCCATTACTGGGTATAGTATATATCCAAAGGACTATAATCGTTCTACTATACGGACGCATGTACACGAATGTTCATTGCAGCACTGTTTACAATAGCAAAGACCTGGAACCAACCCAATGTGACTGGACTGGGAAAATGTGGCACATATACACCATGGAATATTATGCAGCAATCAAAAATGATGAGTTCGTGTCATTTGTAGGGACATGGATGAATCTGGAGAACATCATTCTTAGTAAACTGACACAAGAACAGAAAATGAAATACCGCATATTCTCACTCATATGAGGGTGATGAAAAATGAGAACACATGGACACAGGGATGGGAGTACCAAACACTCGGGTCTATTAGGGGAAAGAGGGGAGGGAAAGCGGCGGGGGGCTGGGGAAGGATAGCCTGGGGAGAAATGCCAAATGTGGGTGAAGGGGAGGAAGGCAGCAAAACACACTGCCATGTGTGTACCCATGAAACGGTCTTGCATGTTCCGAAAAAAGAAAAATCAGGATAGTAGATGTTCTTTGGTAGCCAGAGACACTGACAAGAAAGGTGGATAAGATTGATTTCCATAAAAAAACCTACGGAAGAAAAAGTATGTCTGAGATGTGTCTTCTTATAATGTATTGGTAACTATTCATTATCTTTTGGTGCAGGGTTAGGTGAGAAGACCAAAGGAATGGGATGGAGCACTCAGAACTAGGCCCACATATATTTGAAAGCTTAATTTATAAAAGAATTGGCTTTGAGGTTTAGAGGAATAAAGATGGACTTGTGCTTTTAATAAAAATAAAGAAGTGCTTTAAAACTAAAAAAAAAAAAAAAATCAGAACTATATGGCTAAATCAAAGGAATAAAGTGAGTATCCAAAAACCAATACAAGGAAAATAAAGATGTAAATATTACCTGAAACAATGTGAATTCAGCTAGATCTGTTTTTTAAAATTAAAAAAACCTTCAAAATTTAAAATTGTCATTTCAATGACGTTCATTGAGTAAATGGGAACACAGAAAACAAAATGAAATAACAAAAATAAAACTATAAAAAATACAAAAAATAAAATTTGTGAAGAAGTACAAAATAAGACTGACATGCACTTCTATATATATATATATATATATATATATATATATAAAACAAAAATAAGAAACTCAGCAAATTTCAACTAAGACTAATACAGAGATCTCTAAAAAGACACAGTATAATATAGTATTGAAAGTCAAAGCCACGAAGAGAATATAGAATGCAGGAAGAGAAGAGAAAGGTGTCATTTATATGGTGCTCTTGCAAGATTACCAGCAGACGTATAAACAAAATTTTCAGGCAAGAACAAAGCTGGGTAATATAATATACAAACTCAAATTCCAAACAAGAATACTATGTCCAGCAAAAGTATTCTTTAAAATGAAGAAAAATAGACTCTCCAAGATAATCAAAATGTAGATAAGTGTGTCAACAGAACTAATCTATAAGAAATGCATAAGGAAGTCTCTCCCATTTGAAAATAAGATACACTAAGAACGTCAAATCATATAAAAATACCTAACTCTCTGGTAAAGATACGTATATACACAACTATAAAAATGTATAGTAGTATTACCAAGATTCAAAAATCACTTTGAATTATACTCTAAAATTTAAAAGATATGTTTCAGCTAGTCCTTGATTTGTTAAACAGAAGAAAAATTAGAAAGATAAAAGCATAAAAATAATTTTAAAATTTTGTTAATGTATATCCAATACAGTATATTATTAGTGACATTGATAACAAAGTTGAAGGCAAATGTAATGAGTATAAATTTTTGTGTGCAACAGAGGGTAAGTGTTGCCTGTTTAAAATCAATGGTAACTTTAAGATATTTTTTGTAATCCCTATCTTTACCACATATAAAACACCTATGAAGACAAACAAAAAGTTAAGTTGGAGCCAAGGCATGCCACTATCAACTAGTTATTAAACAAAGAACGAGAGACAAAATATCTAAAACTGCTAAATAAAAAACAGAATGGTAATAGTAAGTTTTTTTTAGAAAAGAAGTTAAATATTCACGTACTAAGCTTACTAATAAAAATACATATACTGAATAAAAGGATTTTTTTTTTTTGGGACGGAGTTTCGCTCTTGTTACCCAGGCTGGAGTGCAATGGCGTGATCTCGGCTCACTGCAATCTCCGCCTCCTGGGTTCAGGCAATTCTCCTGCCTCAGCCTCCCAAGCAGCTGGGATTACAGGCACGCACCACCGTGCCCAGCTAATTTTTTGTAATTTTAGTAGAGATGGGGTTTCACCATGTTGACCAAGATGGTCTCGATCTGTTGACCTCGTGATCCACCCGCCTCGGCCTCCCAAAGTGCTGGGATTACAGGCTTGAGCCACCGCACCCGGCCGAATAAAAGGATTTTTTAACAAAATTAAAGAAAAACACACACACAATCTAACTATACCATGTCTCCAAGAGACTTACTTCAGATCCAATTTTAAAAATGGACTGAAAATGGCAGGATAGAAAAACATTCCATGTAAGTGTTAACCAAATGAGATGGGATACAACAATTATATTAATCAAAAACTGTCATATTTCATATAATTTATGTCAAAATTCACAAGAGACAAAGGATATTAAATTATAGAATGGTTCATTCATTGAGAACCTATAAATATATCTGACACTAGTTTTCCCAAACACATAAAGCAAACATTGACAGAACTGGGTTAACAAATAGGCACCAATATAATAATGGTAGGACACTTCAATAATCCACTTTCAATAATCAATATTTAAGCAAGAAAAAATATTAATAAGGGAACAAAATCTTGAATGCACTGTAAAGCAATTACAGTTAACAAATGTATTCAGATAGAAGAATACACATACTTTTTAGTAGCTCATGAAATATTTTCTAGATAGACCATCTGTGAGACCACAAAACATGTCTTAACAAATATTTAAAGTTAAAATTTTAGACTATTTTTATAACCTGAATGGAATAAAACTAGAAATCAGGAACAGAACAAAAACTAAAAAATTTACAAACTATGAAAATTAAAAAAACACATTCTTGAGTATGCTGTTGTTCAAGGGTTGGAAGACATGATATTGTGAAAATTTCCATATTGCCCAAAGTGACCCACACATTCAACATCACCCTTTTTAATTCCCAATTTTACTTCTCTGAAAATAGAAAAAAAAAATCCTGCAAAATTATTGAAATTTTGAGGAACCATGAGAAGCTTGACAATCTTAAAAAAAAAAAAAATAGAAAGAAAAGAAAAATATCAGAGGCATTATGCTTAATAATTTCCAGACACAAAACAAAGCTACAATAAAAAAGCACGTTAGTACTGGTATAAAGGCAGAACAGCAAAGGCATGAAATAGAATGAAGCACAGATTAAAAATTCTTGCATAAATGGTCAAGTGAGTTACTTGCACACAATGTATTGATGCATTATCCACGAAAGTCAACAGGTAAAAGCAATTTAAACTTCTTGGACCAAATAAATGAAAAAATATATATAGACTACGAAATATTACTCAGCTTTTATAAAGCAGGAAATTTTCTATTATCTACCATAAAGACAAATTTTGAAGACATTATGTTAAATTTAATAAGCCGGTCACACACACAAAAATACTGTAGGAATATACTTACATGAAATATCTAAAGTAGTTAGTCCCTTAAAAAGAGAAAATAGAATGACATTTGTAAAGGGCCAGTCAATGGGAAAAATAAGTAGTGAGTTCATGTGTATTGCATATTTCTTTTACACAAATAAAATGTTCTAGTGATATGCTGCTAACAATATATTTAACATAACAAAATTATAAAAAATTCAAGATTATAAATTTTGTTATGTATTTTTTACAATTAGAAACAAAACAACTATTGACAACCAACCAAAAAAAAGCAAGTATATAAGTCATAAAATGGGGCAACATTTACACAGGCAAACAAACACAAAAATAATTATACTGGCAATAGATATACGGCTGATTCATATCTGACTTCTGAATTGTCTTAATTTTTACAGAGCTGAATACTGGCATGTAAAATTTAATACAAAAATAAAAATGAAAACGCAATTAATTTGACATATCCTGCTCTAAAATGAGACACAGGAATGTAAAACTGGCAGAACAAAATCTAACAAAAAAAATTAACAAAAAATTGAATAAACATAATGTATTACTTAAAAAATTGTTATTCTAGATAGCTACTGCTTTCAACCATGACTGCACATTCATAAAGAGCACATATTTTGGTGGCTTTTCTTATTTCAACTTTACTTTAGATTCAGAGGCTACATGTGTAGGTTTGCTACATAGCTGTATTATGTACTTCTAAGTTTTGGGGTACTACTACTACTCAGGTAGTGAGCACAGTACCCAATAGGTTGCCTTTTGGTCCTTGGCTCCTTCTCTTCCTTCCTCCTCTAGTGGTCCCTAGTGGCTATTGTTTTCTTCTTTATATTTATGTATGCCCAGTATTTAGCTCTCACTTATAAGAATATGCATAATTTGGTTTTCTGTTTCTGCATTAATTTACTTAAGATAATGGCCTTCAGCTGCATCAACTTTGCTACAAAGAACATAATTTTGTCCTGTTTTTATGTCTATGTAGTATTTCAAAGATATGTGGTATCTATGTGTATAGATACCACATTTTCTTTATCCAATCAACAACTATTGGCACCTACGTCGATTCCATGTCTTTGCTATTGAAGCCCATGAAGTTTGAATCATTAGTGTACAATTAAAGCAATACCATTTCATAGAAAATGCATTAATATCATTCATAAATACTTTTTAAAAATTTTTTATTTTTTATTGTGTTTTAGGTTTTGGGGTACATGTGCAGAACATGTAAAATAGTTGCATTGGTACACACATGGCAGTGTGTTTTGCTTCCCTCCAGTTAGAATGATGATCATTAAAAAATCTGGAGACAACAGATGCTGGAGAGGATGTGGAGAAATAGGAACACTTTTACACTGCTGGTGGGAGTGTAAATTAGTTCAACCATTGTGGAAGACAGTGTGGCGAGTCCTTAAAAACCTAGAAATAGAAATTCGATTTGACCCAGCAATCCCATTACTGGGTATATACCATAAATACTTTTATGAGAAAGTTGGAAGAAACAAACAGTTAAATAGTACTGAATTATCTTCCATATTATATCATTATTTTGCTGCTATTTTTACACAAAATGTAAAGGTTATAATGCTTTAAAAGCAAAGCAAACTAGTACATTTCTAAATAATATGAACAACGTAAATATTAAACAATATGGTATAAAACACTAACATACAAAGTGAACAATTAGAAACAAATGTATATAATTATTCACATAATAAAATTTGAGAAAAGTGAAATGCTAATAACTTTTTATATTCAGTAAACAAACATATAAAAGATTTTAATGAATGTGAGGTGCCCATTAATTATATAATACACTTTTTATATAACATATACATTTAAGCACATTACCTCGGAATTTCTGAAATTACAGGCAAGTTGGAATACAGTGAATCAGAAAGTAAAAAGAACAAAATATAGGACGTAGACCTACTAATCTTCATAGAAAAGAAGATAAAAATTATAGTATAGTCACAAAAAAATAGGTAATTGGGAGTTTACTATATGCTGGACAGGGTTGTAAGTAACCTATGATATTAGTGTTTTTAAGAAATCTATGAAGTGAGTAAATAAAATAAACTATTCAACCATAGAATTGTCATACAGCATTTAAATCTGTAAGCTCCTATGCTTAGTTCCTACTAAGAAAAAAATACTTTTAAAGTCAAACAGATGTTTAGATTTTCTCATACTCAATTAGATTCTTTGTGCTCTGATGAAAGTTCTCAGTCTATTTTCTCTATGATCACCTGACTGGAAATTATAAAGCAGAGAACACATGACATTTGTTGCTGGTACTTCTGGAATCTCTTAACCAAAGTCTAATGTTTTCCCTACTCCTCTCACAGATATCTAATGTAGATCTTTTAAAATAGATAGCTAAACACAGTGGTCTCTAAAAACGCGTGAAAATTTTCCCACGTACCTTAAAGCAATGAAAGAGCAGTAAGATTATATGAGTACTCACAGTGTAATAAAAGAAGTTTGCCTTCCACTGTGAATGCATCAACAAATTATTGAATGAACAGAAGACTTAGAGAATTTAAGAGCATAGTAAGCATACATCAGAAAAATGTTCTCCATCAAAGTAAGAGAAATAAACCTAGGCTTTTCAAGAATCAATTCCATTGGAACACAGCATTCCAATCCATATTTTAAACTCTGGTTTTCTCCTTCACTTTTGGAGCTTTCATATGTGTTATCTGATAAATTATTCATACTGAGCATATGGCTATTCTTTCCCCTCTTCACACATTCCTGGAATTTTCCCTGAAATTTTTCTATGCTGCACAAGGTAACCAGGTCTAGCTTACAGACTGTCCAACACAACCAACACAATGATAAAGTAATGCTGAGAAGAAAGGCAAATGCTTGTCATACTAGAAAAACTGCAATGCCAAAGTCAACTAGGGAAGCAAGAGTCTAGAATCTGAAAAGAAAATCTCTTTAACTTAGAAATAACATATAAAAGTAAAAAGACACAACTGAGAATATGTTTGTGAAACACTAAAGTTTATAGCCTGGATGATTGCTATAGCTAGTCTTTAAGCAAGTCTTTTAATATCAGATTAGACAGCTTATTTATTACTTTCCAAACTTCATCAAAGGATCTCAGGACATAAGAAAAAAGGCAGAAAACATATCCTACTTGAAGAAACAAAATAAATCCCCAGAACTTCTTAAGAAAAAAACATCTGTACAACTATCTGACAAAGATGTCAAAATAATGATACTAAATATATTCTGTAGCAAAAAGAAAACAAAGATAACAAAATAAGAAAAATATTCATGAAAAATCTGTGAACAAAAAGATAAAAACTATAAAAAACAGTAGAAATTGTGAAACTGAAAAAATGCAATTGATGAAAAGTTTACTAGAGAGAAACAACAGGCTTAATAAACCAGAAAAAGTAATTCAGAAAACTAAAGAAATATTATTTATAAATGTTGACGCATAAAAAAAAAAACAAAAATTTGAGAAACCTGAACATGGAATATGAAACTTACTGGATACTATCAAGTAGACCAATATTTGCTTTTTTCCCCCCTTTTTCTTTTTTTATTTTCTCAACTAGACCAATATTTTCATTTAAAAGTCTATGAAGAAGAAAGCAAAAAGTAGTAGAGATATTACCTGAAAAGAAAAGGGACTCACTAAGAACATCCCAATTTCAAAGTGATGAAAAAAATACTATTAACCAGAGACACTTAATCAGTGAGAAATTTACTTTAAAAATAAGAAAAAACAAAAAAAATGGGCACTGCAGCCTGTGCCTGTAATCCCAGCACTTTCGGAGGCCAAGGTGGGCAGATCACAAGGTCAGGAGTTTGAGACCAGCCTAACCAAAATGGTGAAACCCTGTCTCTACCAAAATACAAAAATTAGCCAGGTGTGGTGGTGCATGCCTATAATCACAGGTAGTCAGAATGCTGAGGCAGGAAAATCGCTTAAACTCAGGAGGCAGAGGTTGCAGTGAGCCGAGATTGCACCATTGTACTCCAGCCTGGGCAATAGTGCGAGACTCCATCTCAAGAAAAAGAAAAAAATAAAGATGTTCTATAATTTAAAAAAGCTAAGGGTGTTTATTACCCCTAGAAAAGTCTTACAAGAAATACTACATGGAATACATTATGTTGGCAGACACAGTGGTTCAAACTTGTAATCCTAGAAACTTGGTAGGCTGATGCAGAAGAATCACTTCAAGCCAACAGTTTGAGATCAGCCTGGGTGATATGTTGAGACCCCTTCTTGAAAAAGATACCTTTATAATAATTTTGTTTTTCAAGTAGAGTGTTTTTAAAACTCGCTAAAGCCAAAGTCTGACTGAAGTCATTTTGAGAAGGCAGACCTTCATTCATGTGGCAAACTTGAGAACCCTTGATCTCTCGGCTAAAGAACAATAAATGATTCACCTATCTTGGTGCCACTTAAAATTCTGCAGTGACTGTAATTAACTCCAGCTCCTTCCAGCCATGGTCTAGCAGTGGTACCTGCACATGTGGAGATCTGGAGGGAGATGCCTATTTGTAATTATAGAGGTAGGCCTGCAGACCTTGGTTTTTACTGTGCTCTCTGAAACAATTCAGTAACTCAGTTTCCGCACTTTTAGCCACACTCTGTGGCCAGTTTTGCCCACCTAGAAGCCCACAGAGTGACCTGTGGGTCACTGCCAGGTGCTCAATAAGCTCACACTCACCCACACAGCTCATATTAGGTTCACCAGATGTTAACCCAACTGCTGCTGGCCCTGCAAATCAAAGTCCTGAAAGCAGTCCAGTCTGCCAAGAAATAAGACAAGATTAACAACTATCCAGGCTGTGGGTAACTACACACCAAAGACAAACCCCAAAGCAGAGCAAAAACAGTCATGTGACCTACGTACAACCCCCCTCTCTGCTGCAAATCCGAAGAGATGCTATTAGCCAATCAAAAGGTGATCTTACCTGCTGAAACCAGTCTATGAAATTAGAAGTGGTGTTTGCTCCTTCAGCTGCACAAAAACCAGTACAGGGGTACATTATGTCTATTTTTAATGCTTCTGTTTTAACATAGTACTGGTAGTCCTAGGCAGAACAATTAGGCAAGAAAATTTTTGAAAAGACATCCAGCCAGATTCAGTGGCTCATGTCTGTAATCCCAGCACTTTGGGAGACTGAGGGGGCAGGATCGATTAGTCAGGTATGGAAAATGCACACCTATAACTGTCAATACTTGGGAGGCTAAGATAAGAGAACTGCTTGAGCCTAAGGGCTAAGGCTTCAGTGATCCATGATTACACCACTGCACTCTAGTCTGAGTGGCAGAATGAGACCTTGTCTCAATGAAAAAAAAAGGAGAAAAAAAGGCATCCAAATTGAAAGGAAAGCTGTAAAAATGTCAGTTTTTAGATGGGATGGCATTATATTACACATAGAAAACCATGAATAGCATACCAAAAGACTTTTTCAACTAAAAAACACACTTGGTAAATTAGAGAAATATAAAATTAACATACAAATCATTTGTATTTCCATATACTAACAAAAAACTGCCAAATAAAAATGTAAAAATAATAATCTCATTGAAATAGCATTAATAATAAATTTCTTAGCAATATATTTAACCAGGGTGCAAAAGCTTTATATTGAAATATTTAAAATAATAAAAAAATTGAAGATGGCACAAATAAATGCAAAAATATTTCATGTTTATGGATTAAGAAGATAAATATTGTTAAAGTGTCAAATTATTTAAAGTAATCTATAGATTCAATACATGCCCTGTCAAAATTCCAGTAACATTTTTTAAACTAATAGAATATGCAATCCTGAAATTTATATGAAACTACAAGAGACTTGCTTTGAATGGCCAAAGCAGTTTTAGGAATAAGAACAAACCAGGGGGCGTTATACTTTTTTGATTTCAAACTACATTTGGAAACTATTGTATTAAAAACAGGATGGTTTGTGCATACCAATGCATACCATAATCAATGGAACAGAATGGAGAGCCCAGAAACAAATCCGTCTATATAAGATCAACTTATCTTTAACAGTAAGGCACTGAGAATATGCAATGCAGAAAATATAGTCTCTTTCATACTTCCTTCTGGGAAAACTAAATAGCCACATGTAAAAAAATAAAATTAGACCATTTTTCTGATACTATATTTGAAAATTAACTAAATATAAAATAAAGACTCTAAAGTAAGACATAAAACCCTAAAATTTTTTTAAAGAAAATACATGAAGAAACTTTAATATTGGTCTGGAAAATTCTGGATACAACAGCAAAAGTGCAATTAAAGCAAATACAAATGAGCAAACACAAATACTGCATCAAACTAAAAAGCTTCTGCACAACCAAGAGAACAATAAAATAAGAAAACTATATCTGGTAAGTTGTTAGTATCCAAAATTTAAGAAACTCATATGAATCAAAGGAAAAATTATAATAATAATTATAATAATAATAACAAGATTGAAAAATAAGCCAAAGACTATATAGGTGATTTTCAATGAAAACATACAATTGGTCAACAGGCATAGAGAAAGGTGCTCAGTATCACCAATCTGGCAGTTGCAAATTAAAACTATGGTGAGATATTACTTCACACACATTAGAATTGCTAGTATCAAAAATAAAAGTTATAACAAGTATTAACAAGTATATATTTTTTAAAATGCTGTACATTCCTGGTGACTTGCAATGTTTTAGTGTCATGATGAAAACCACCATAATAAGGGTTCTATAAAAAAATGTAACAGTACTACTATACAATCCAGCTATCTCATTTCTGCATATACCATAAATTTAGTATTTCAAATAAACATCTGTACCTCCATGTTCCTTGAATCATTATTTACAATTGCCAAGATATAAAACAAACCTAAAATGTTTATGGATACTGAGTAAAGAAAACATGCTAATACACTAAATAGAATATTGTTCATCCCTTAAAAAATAATAAAACCTTGCCATTTTGACAACATGTATAGACCCAGATAACATTATGCTAAGTGAAATATGCCAGACACAGAAAGACAAATACTGTATGATCTACTTTTATAAAGAAAATAAAAATGTTGAACTCCTAGAAGCAGAGAGTATAAAGATGGGTGGTAGGGCCTGGCTGGAGGCAGGGAAAATGAGAGATGTTGTTCAAATGGTACGAATTACTAATTATAAAACAAGTTATTATGACCTAATATACAGTTTTATCACTATAGTTTATGTATGCTGAAAATTTGCTTACAGATCTTATTTGTTCTCACTACACAAAAGGTAACTATGTAAGGTGACAGATAAGTTTGTTCATTAATTTAATTTGATTGTATTAACCATCTCACTATATATATATACATGTAAAATCAATACATTGTATACATTAAATGTAGGTATTCAGATATTATTTGTGAAAAGATCCCCATGTTACAAATACCTACATATATACACTTGTACATATATGTACTTGCATGTATACACACACACACACATATATATGAATGACAAAGTCCCAGTAAGCCTCATCCAAAAACAACATTGTAAAATTACAATCATTTAAAAATAAAGTTAAAATTGAGAATTTAATACATGCTTAGCAGCATTTTAAGCTCCTCAATGGCATAGTCTCTTCGAAAAATGTATGAAGCTGATACACTGAGCTAACTATATTACAGTTGAGGCATTTTGGGGACATAGTTTAATTTACCAATATTAGTTTATATAAAAAGTACAACATTTTCAAGTTACATAATTTTACACTTTCTTATATTTAGGGAGATGCTTAAGTGTTTTGTAAAATTACTGATTATAAATTTTTATAAAATCCCATTTGAAAACCCTGTAGGATAGAAAATTATAAAGCAGAAACATTCACCTTTTTGTGGTGTTCCTGGGATTTCTGAACCAAATCCCAGTATCACCAAAACTCTCATATATTTTAGACATTATCCAAAACCAACCTTAAAAGTGTGTAACATAGTTTCTCAAAATACAGATATTACTATTTCTCCCAAAGCAATGGAAGTGCATTTAGATTACACATTCTTTTAGGTTATGAGTAAAACTATCACTATAAACTAAAAAACAAGCAAACAAATAAAAACCATAAGTGAAGGGGAAGTACTTAGAAAGTTAATGAGAATGAGACAGACACATCATGAGATGCCCTGATGTGAAAGCAAGAGAAAGAAATGCAGGTTACTCAGAAGCTATTTCATTGGTGGAGAGCCTCTCAAACCATGTTTCAGTCTGGCTCCCTCCTTGACACAGGGAACTCTCATTTGTGTCATTTGCCTCATTAGCTCCCACTTACCTGGGTATTTGGCTACTGTTTCCTGTCTCTTCACATTCCAGAGCTCTTTTTTTGCTCCAGATGGGTGATCAAGTTTGGCTTGGTGACAGCAAGACCTGTTTTATTAAAAGAACATGACTCTTGCTAGAAGTCTAATTACCAATCTAGTACTGTGCTCAGTATACAAGAGAGAATATTGTAGAAGATTCTAGAAAATTAATCTCAATATACTGTTTCCTAATAGGAACTTTAGAATATTTAGAAAGTATTTTGAATTTTTGGGTTGATAGCTCTACTACTCAGTAATACTTAATGACAAATTGGTGGTGAAATTTGATTTTAAGGTGTGGGCAACAATACTTTATGCTACTAAATTTCTGGTATTACCACTAATTTACACTGACTTATACAAATCAGCTCAAAAAAAGGGAAAGATTATTAAGATAAAACATCTTGAAAAATTTATCTTGTACCTCAACAGATACTGTTGTTCTCTTTCTTTTTTCTTAAGTAGTATTCTGAAACTCATTCATGCAAAGCAGAAACCCCTAGAAAACAGAAGAAAACAAATTGTGTGGAAGGTGAATTGTACATTGAAGTTATTCTCACCCAGGAACACCAGGTTTCCAGGTTTCTGTAGTTCTCTAACATCGTATCCCTATACAAATGCTGCTGGGCCAAATCAAGGCATTCCCACTCTTCTGGAGAGAATGCTATGGCCACATCCCTGAATGTCAACACTCCCTGTAAAATATAACATATTTAGCAAGTGGTCATAGAAAGAATTCTCAGGCCTGGGGAGGATGCATGACTATGCTGACCCCAAAGGTCTCCAGGAGAGACTGCCCAGCTCCACCTAAACCTATTGGTTCTGTTCTTCAATCTTGCTTCACTAAGAGAAGCTGTCCCATGTGGAGATCAACAGCACTGCCAGGAGAACGTAGATTTGAGTTCTGCCCCACCACAAGAATGCTGTGCAACCCTGCAGCCTGCAACGGAGAGTAAAAGAGGAGGCTTCACCAGAGGTAACACCAGGGGAACTGTGTCCTGGAGGGAACAAGGGGCATGCGCATAGGAAAGGGTTCCAGGAAGGTCATGTGAAGCCACGTAGAAAACAGGTGGGGTGGAACTGGAACAGGGCCCAGGCAAAAGGGGAGCTGATCCCAGCTCTTCTTCTGGAAAAAGCTGCTTAAGAGCAAAAGCAGCCCCTGCTTGCAAGCAGCCCTCCCAGCTGCTGACCTGTGTCCCCTGATCACTTCTCCAGGGCATCTCAAAGAACAGTCCTGTCCTGTTCCATCTGTTTCCTCTCTCAGACCCATCAGTGGTCTCACTGGAGAGCATGGGAGGGCAGTCACCTGAGACTCAGGGAACCGAAAGGGGCTCAGTGACTCAGCAGTCTCCTGCATGGAAGAAGTACCCACCACCTCACAGGAGGGCCCACTTCCCGCAGTCTCCTAACTTTCCAAATTGTACCCTGAGCCTTCCCAACATTTCTTTGCTGCATCAGCCACTCTTTGACGCCAGTGTTCCTGCCATCTTCTGTGGCCTGGCCTGCCATCCCCTAATGGAGCATGCTGCCCGGGACTTGGGTCAGGATGGGTCTGGCCTTCTGCTGGTTTGGGCCTTGCTAGCTATGGGTGGTGGGTCCCTGCCAAGGATGCTAAGATCCTTTGCACAGGGCCAGGTCAGTGCTGTGCCACCTTTCTCCTCATTGCTGCAGGTGGCAGCATCAGCCTCCCAGCACGCTGTTCTTTTTCTGGCCCCTCTAAACATCAGGCACCCCTTGAGACTTCCAGATCCCACAGTGAGCAGAAAGATGACTGCTGCCACCATGGAGCATCACAGTCTGGTCTAGGCACCAACGCCAGTGAGCTGGCACATGTACCAGCACAGAAGAGTAAACCCCTGGGCAGGGGTGGCAAGGACTAGGACAGCAACCAGATCTCTGTCCTGATGGGAGGCCAGCTTCCACCCGAGGCTCCCAGCCCCCTGCTTGCCCCACACATGCCTCTGCAGAGCCCGGCCCAGTCTTCTCACATATGGCCCTGCCTTTACCCACTTCCCTACTGCACCATGGCCATGGCAACTCCTCTGTTCAGAAAGGCTCTTTGGGGTGTGCAATGTAGGCTAAGGTCCCAGCCATTGGCCCAGTCCTGAACATGCTTCCTGGCCATCTCCTCCCTTGCTGGGCTGGGGGATTTCAATACACATACACACTCACACTCACGTACATTCAGACTCACCCAAATACACTCACACTCACATATACTTCACTCAAGCCTCACCTTCTCCCACCTGGCAGAGCTCTACTGAACATACCAGGCACCATTCCCCCCTTTTCTTGGCACTAAGTAATCAGCAGGTGACTTCATCGTGGTGAGTACATCCTAAAGTGAACTTACACACACCTAGACAACAGCTCTGCTCCACATCTGGAGGATGTGGTCTAGTGCCAGGTCTGTCACGCAGATCCTGGCCGATGGATGAAATAAGTACTCAGACACAAGTATGCAGTATAAGAGCAGCTAGGTGACTTCCTGGCTCTAGTGGCCAGAGAGCAGCCTGGAGAAGCTGGAGCTGCTAGCTCTTATTCAGTGCAGGCATAATGCCAAAAGTCTGCAGCAAACACAACCTGTTGTAGGTAATTAACATTAATTGTTCCCTTTTCATGGAACTTCAGGCACACAAATGATCAAAGGTTCAGTTCCCGGTCAACATAAGTAAACAAGCCTGTTTATGATATGTTCCTCTACATTCCCTTGGACCTACTCCTTCCCCTCAGTCTCAGGGTTATAGAACAGCTGCCTTCAGCTATTCTCCCCCCAGGGGCTCTGCGGAACCTTCCAACTTTTCAGGAAGTTTGTGTCCTTTCCCTATAGTTTTTTCCACCACTCTGACCACCAATCCACCACAGTCTAGCCTATTGCCCCCGGCTACAAAATTGGGCAATATGCACGGTACTGAATATTACAGGCAACTATAACACAGTGCTAAGCATCTGTGTATCTAAACACATCAAAACACAGAAAAGGTGCAGGAAAAATACAGCATTCTAATCTTACGGGACCACTGCACTACATGCGGTCCATCATGGTTATGCGGTGCAATGATGGTACTCCCTGTGCATGGGGCCTCTAACCTTTGCAGGCCAACTCCCCTGCTCTAAGATGCTCCTAGGTTTCCCCAATTAAAGCAAGTCTCTCCTGCCCACATGCTTCCAGAACCGTGAGCTTAGACAAGGGACACTTCCTGAAGTGGATTTGACAGAAAAGTCAGCTGTAATGACTGGCCCCTCACCTCTCACTACATTCTTAACACCTAAAAGGTGGAGGGGTCATGCTGTGCCTTCCTGGAGGCAAGCCTGCAGTAAATATCTGTTGAGGGGATGGGTAAAATTCAGAAGTTGAGGGACGTGGGTGGTGGCTGAGTTCAGAGAGGTGCTGTCAGCATGGGGAGAGCAGTCAGACACAGCTCCACTGCTCAGCAGCAGTGAGGACAAGCTAGCAAACCTCCCTGCACCTCAGTGTCCCCATCTGTAAAGTTGAAATAAGAGCACCTAGCCTGAGGATTTTACACAAATGAGAATGTGCAGGTGAACCACACTCTGCAACGGGAAGCCATTATTTCATCTCTTATTATGGTTATTATTTCATTATTACTATTGAGACAGAGGGACAGGCTGTACTTACAAAGAATGGTGGTGGGTGGGGAAGGAAGTCAGGCAAGGCTGTGAATTGGCAAGTGTGTTGCAGGCATAAAATCACAGTTCTTACATCCTGCCCTGTCAAATAATCTTTGTCAACCAAAAAAGTATATATTTCACCAAATGTTGGCTATACTGCAGTACATATGTTACCCATTTTCTCTCTCAACTCCTCAGCTAAGCAGCTTCCAACATCCAGGATAGAATAGTATTTCAGGCCAGTAATGGTGGTGGTTCATTCCTGTAATCGCAACACTTTGGGAGATCAAGGCAGGAGGATCCCTTGAGTTTAGGAATTCAAGACAAGCCTGGATAACATAGCAAGACCCTATCTCTACAAAAATTAAATAAATTAGGTCAGGTGCAGTGGCTCACGCCTGTAATTCCAGCACACTGGGAGGCCAAGGTAGGTGGATCACCTGTGGTCAGGGGTTTGAGGGTTTGAGACCAGCCTGGCCAATATGGTGAAACTCTGTCTCTACTCAAAATACAAGAAATTAGCTGGGCATGGTGGCACATGCCTGTAGTCCCAGCTATGCAGGAGGTTGAGGCAGGAGAATAACTTGAACCTGAGAGGTAAAGATTACAATGAGCCAAGATTGCACCACTGCACTCCATCCTGGGTGACAAGAGTGAAACTGTCTACAAAAGAAAAAAAAGGAAATTAGCTGGGCGTGGTGGTGTGCACCTGTAGTCTCAGCTACTCAGAAGGCTGAGATGGACGCATGGCTCGAACCCAGGAGTTCAAAGCTGCAGTGAACTTTGATGGCACCACTGCACACCAGCCTGGATAACAGAGACACTGTCTCTGAAACTAAAAAAACAGTATTTCACCAATTCTTAGTCTCAGCTGTCATTTTTTAATGTACAATTTTACACACAGCAGGTAAGTACACACCTGTAAAAACCCTCTTACGTGGTTGTGAATTAAAGGCAGCTAAGAGTCAACAACAAATTAAATCATTAAAGTCAACTGACTATGAATGCCAACTCAGAGCCTGGCCTAAAAAAAAAATGCCAAGTCCATGGCCTGGTGAGAGTAAGTAAATTAACAATTTGCACCTTTGATCAACAGCTTCACATGGCTCATTCGGCAGTTGTAGGGTCTGCCCCTCCACTCCAGAATTCTCAACTCCATGGACAAAGTATCCAAAGCCAGCACAGGGGTGTACTGTGGGCATAGAGGGTTCTAGTTCTTAGTAAGGAAAAAACTCAAAGGGAGGAACAGTTGCAAGAACACTCACCTAGGTCAATCAGTCTGGGACCCTCTGACTACAACACTGCCATTTGGAGGGTGTGGAGAAAATTTAAAGGGCCAGTTCAGCCCCAAAACTACACGGTCCTGGTTAAATATTCTTAGTGTGAGGGCCTCATCATCAAGTTTTTTCTGTTTTATCATTTCCCTTTGAAGAGAATGAAATAAGACAGTTTTCTCTCTTCCTTTGGAAAAAATAAAATTGAAAAGCACATCGTCTTCAGATGATGAAGGAAAGCCTGCTGAACATGGTGGTTCACACCTGTAATCCCAGCACTTTAAGAGGCCAAAGCTGGTGGATTGATTTGAGCTCAGGAGTTAGAAACCAGCCTGGGCAACATGGCAAAACCCAGTCTCTAATGAAAATACAAAAGTTAGCCAGGCATGCTGGCACACATCTGTGGTCCCTGCTACTTGGGAGGCAGAGGCTAGAAGATCCACTGGAACCTGGGAGGCAGAGACTGCAGTGAGCTGAGATTATGCCACTGCACACCAGCCTGGGCAAAAGAGTGAGACCCTGCATCAAAAAAAAAAAAAAAAAAAAAAAAAAAAGAAAGAAAGAAAGAAAGAAAGAGAAAGAAAGAAAGAAA